TTCCTGTTTTTCCCAAGTACTTCACAAACTCAGTTAATGTTGCCCATTCAGTAGAATTCATATGGACATGGTGGCGATCAGCTATATACTCATTGTACACAACAGTTGCAGCAACACGACTAAAGCGGTGACTACGCTTCATATGCTCAAGGAATAAGCTCTCAAATTCCTCGGAATAGCCACCAACAATGCGATTAGAGTTCTGACCAAAGATTTCCATTTGACGTTGATGAGACTCACTCATGCAGTGGCACTTGAATCCATTTTCATCTCGACATTGTTTTTGGCACATTTGGCAGTACCATCGCAGCTTCTGCAAGCCCTTTGCTTTTATTCGGTTGGCAATTGCCTTAGGGGTCAAGAAATCATTTTTCCCCATTTGAATTTGGGAAGTTCAAATCGATGGACTTCTTAACAATGTCTGAAAAAATCACCACAACTCAACATCAGTTCTTAAAGAAGCTAGCATTACTAAGGAGTAGACTAGAGAATATAAACAATTAACAGAAGGCCAAGACATCACACAAAAGAAGAGAATGAGCAGATTTTAGGAAAGGCAACCAGTAGTTACAAGTCAGCAGAAAACTAAAGCAGTAAAATTAGAGCTTGACAACAGATAACAGGCATAATATCGAGGCTTTAGATCAAACAAGTTTCTGAATTTAAACAAGAAATATTTACGTTAAATGCAGAAAGTAAACAAATGTAGAGAATTTCGATTGAACTTGTAGATAACAATGATTAACTTGTTATCACTAAGTATGAAAATTAAACCAAGATGAGCAGAGCGGGAGATCGACACGTTAAAGAAACGCGAAAAAGGGAACTTAAGCAATCTATGGGTTTACGAAAAATATCAAACTAAAGGCGTATGTAGAAACCAAGAGCTACACAAAGGCACATCTTGAGCCGAAATTCCAATAAATATTGCTATGTCGGTAGAATAGTATATATTTGTTTTTTTTTTTATATATATATATAGAGAGTTTTTCTAAGGTTAACTATTAATGGAACAAGCTTGGAGCTGCACTAAAACAAGCAGATTGGGACTTGAGGGAGTATTTAACTGAAGAACATGAACAACAGAACAAGATAACACTAGGAACTTGTGATAAAATTTACACAACCTCTAAACATGAGTAAAAAAATATATTAGCAACTTTAGTAAGAGGATGGGAGAAGGAGTAGACACGTTTTATTTTTTTATTTTTTTAGGGCGTCAGTTCAACAACATGGCTATAATGCAGCTAAAGAGACGGAGAATGCTATTCAAGCTAAGTTAGCCACAAAGATGAGGAGACGAACATTTTAAAGCTAAATTAGAGGCAATGTTGCAAGAGCCAACACAAGTTAAGCTAAACATCTCATGATTCCAAGTTTCCAAATAATGCTCTTAATCACATAATCTAAAAAAAAGAAACTAACCATATTCTATAAGTAAACAATCACACAATCCGATGATGTTCAAGGCGGGAGCTAATTAAAACCAAATAACTCATATGAAAATTTGTAAAGAGACGACTACCGAAAAGTGTCGAGTAGCTTTAATTTACACCTAAACTTTCAAGTGACAAGGATGGTTTGTATATAAAGCAAAACTGCTTATCACATGAATCAGGCAAGTTAAAAATTCAAGAGTAAATAGATATACTATAAATTAATGATACTCTTTTAAGATATTCAAAAGGTACAACCAGTAAGGTGTCACAATAGGATTACTTGATTCCTTTACAACATATTTTGGTGTTTCATGCTATTACAACTTCCCGAAAGCTGACTAAGAGACCAAAATTAGACATTCCCCGCAAACTATATGAACATGTAAATGATATTTAAGAAGAAAATGAAGGGGTGACAACAAGATAAAACAAGGAGAGGCATGGCTGAACAGCGGAAGCTTACAAACGAGTCAGATTCCTAGACTATAACAGATGGTTATTAGCAAATATAAAGACATTGTTGGCAGTTTCTCGTTCTTGAAGTTACATATCATGACAAATAACAGAGAGATTATTTCAAGGATTACAAAGAATAATGTCTAAAATGGCACACGCATCTCATAAGCATCATCAAACTAAACCTAATGCATTATCTCAAGAATGGGGAATATTACCTTTATACGGGCAGTGACCTGGAGACAATGAGCAGGGGAGAACAGCGACTTCTCCTACCACGAACGGCAAGCTATGGAACTTAGAATCAGCAAGCTAGATATATAATTTTAAAGTGTAAGATGACTATTGCGTCAGAACTAAGCTCAAAAAACATATCCTCATCCAATGGGCATGGGGAACTAAGTTGGGGTGATTTCGGGGGGAAATCCATTGGAAAATATCAATAGGAAATTTGAATTTTTCTTTCCTCTTTTCCAAGACTAACAGTGAAAGATGGGAAAAAGCTGTCACTTCGTTTATGAATTGCCTCCTGCAGATCAGCAACTGTAGCAACAACCAGAATTACATAACCAAACCAATAAAATATAAAACCACACATCTAAACCCATCATCTTTTTTAACAAATCGACCATTATTCTACTTAAAATACACATTCATGTAGCATAATTGAGCATCAATCAAGCTGAATTTCACTAAACAAAAACAAACCCAGATAAGGAAATACGATTTCGGACGGAATTGAAACGAAAAATCGATATAAGATACTTACCGTTGCTGGAATATTCTGAAACCTTCTCAATTCAAAGGAGGAACGGTGAATCGACGTCGATTGAGGAGAAATTAGGGTTCTTCGCCCTTGTTCTCGCGCAAAGAAGAAGAAGAGAAAAAGGGGAAATAATTGAGGTTATGGGCCGGGTTATAATAGGGGTGATCCAATTAGATTATTAGACTCAAAGTTTCACGGGACCCGTTTCCTTATCAATGAATATAAATGAAATAAATCGAAATTAACTAATTGAGATTCTTAATATTAAAAAAAGTAAACTATATTAGAGGATCATTGAACTCTTATTTGAATTCAAATGCGTATCATAACAACTATTAGGAAGGATTCCAAATTATTCAAGAATAATTACACTTTTGAGTTTATCCTGACTGATAGCTATCTGGTTCTCAATCTCATAGCTCCACAGATATACATGATTATGGTATGGTCTCAGATGTTCGCAACATGATCCCAAACCTTCTAACATACGAGCAATCTTATTAGGCACGTCCAGGTGTTAGGCTTAGTGTGGTCTTTGTTGATTCTCAATTTGTCCACTTATTCGGTTCGATTTTACTATGTACACAACACATTATGTTATTGAAAGTTCTTTTAAATTAACTTAAAACATGTAATAATTAATGAATAAGTCAAGTTATAAAAAAAATGTTACAAATTAGTCAAACGATGATGTAGGGTAGGTTTGACAAGAGATCTCTTTCAATTTTAATGCCGCTTACATAAGAAAGTCAATTGAATTAGATAATATAATGTTCAAGAAAAATGTATAATCATATGGTTGAAAATCTTGACTCTTTTTTTTTTTCTTTTTTCAAACTAGAAACTTGATTTCAAATTCACTTGCCTTGCAATTTGTTTTTTATATTGATCTAGAATCTTCTATTCTACTTATACCGATATTGATATAGAAACAATTATATTCAATTATTTGATTACTTTGGTTTCAAGAAACATATATAAAGGTTTATTGTTTTGTTATCTGAATTTGTGTCAAAAAGTTCTATTTTTGGCGTGGTAAAGTAATTTTCTATAAAAAAAAAACGACTTCTTTCTCAAGATTCGAATCCCAAATCTATGATCAAGGACACATAAATTTACCACTTCATTACAACTTTTGGTGATAATAAAAGTTTCTTTCTTTTTCTTTTTACTTTTACATGAGGCGTATAATATATGTTTTTAAACCCGAGACAATATTATTATTAAGATTCGCATCCGAGACCTGTGATAACAGATGAAAAAGCTAACCATTCCTACAACAATCTTCCTGACTAAGTATATAATCAGTTGATTTTGAAGAGAGATAAATGACTAATATAAAATGAACTCAACTAGCAAATATTTACTTTTGTTTCCCTGCAGCTTCGTAGCAAATGCAACAACGTATCTTTGTAATTTCCATCTAGGTATGTTTGGTACGGAAAAAAATATTTTTTAACAAAACATAAATGATTTTTTGAATAGCCATTCATCTTTTTACGAAATTAGAAGTTTATATTTTTGTATGATGATATGTCAAAAGCTATGCCCCACGCCCTTAAAAACGTATGCCTCGTTAGACAAAAGTTTGATTTCTAGAAGTAAATTAAAAACTAAAGAGTTGCTCATTTGAAAGACGATTAACTCCTCTTTCCATATTACTTGTAAAACTAAAATATTATATTGATGAATATAACGTCAGATAGTCTATGAAAGTTTCAGTGAAATTGCTAAACTTTGAATTAATTAACTTAGCCAAGACTTTATATATATATGATATTATAAAGTGATAGATTAGTCAATAAATACACCGCGTACTTATTTCCTTGCCTCATGTTGGTCTATCTATTAAAAAAAGACAGTTTGATATACTAAGTTTTCGTTATATATGGAATTTAGACAAATGTTGAACCATAAGAATATATTGCACTTAGCCTTACGTAAGTCTATCGATTAAAAAAAGACAATTTGGTATACCAAGGTTCAGCTATGTACGCAATTTTTTTTAAAAAGAGTCGAATCACAAGGATGTATTGTATACTTAGCGGCCTTATGTAAATTTATCTATTAAAAACAGTCTGATATATCAAGCTTTCGCTATGCACGGAATTCAGAAAAGAATCGGATCGGACTACATGGATGTATACTCTTATGTGTAAGTCTATATAAGTATTTCAAAAAGCAACTTAGAGAAATTATAACTTACAATTTCACAACTCTATTCTTAGAAAAAGAAAATAATTTTGCAATTTCAAATGGCATATTCATTAGTTTATCCAAACACATTTGCTCTCAACCTAAAAATCCATTGCAAAATTTGTGAGAAAAAATTGAAAAACATGTTGCTAAAAGTTCAAGGTGTACATTCATTGAAAATTGATGCAAAACTTGGAAATATAGTAATTTCAGGCATAGTTGATCCTGCAACAATTATAACCATGTTAGAAAAACATGGGAGAAAGGCACAACTCTTATGGGAACAAGGAATTCCGATAAAAGACAGTCCAGTCGACAAAGCATCTCGTGTTCACTCAGGATTTGAGGAAGGGCATAATTTGAAAAATGTTCAGATTATCACGCAATCTAATAAAGTGATTAATCCACTGAACGATCCAGATATTATGAATCAACTAGAGGAATTATCTCGAATTCCAGGATTGCAAACCATGGAGGTGACAAAAACAATTAAGTTGACTTTCCAAGGAGAACCAAGAAATGAACCTAATGACAAAATTCAGACATTTTGTACGGCTATAAATCATAGTCATAATCATCATGGATATTGTTGTGACTATGATTGCCCGCCCCAAATAGAAAATTGGGGTAGGGCGCGACCCTTCAATTGTCAACCCTTGCCTATGACACCACCACCGCTACCATCAGCTCCTCCTTTGCCTTTTGAATATTTTCAGGCACCACCACCATCAGCATCATCGTCAATGCCTCACACCTATTATAGCGTCTTAAGCGATGAGAATGTAAATGGCTGCATAATTCTATGATATTTTGCTACCATATATTTATTTTTGTGTTTCATATGAATATGTGTGGTTAAGGTACAATTGTTACAAAAAGAAATTAAAAAAGCTTTTGAATGTAATTACTTTGTAAAGTTCATGTAAAATTAGTAATGTGATAGTCTATTGGTCATGTCCTTGTAACTACTTTGTAAAATTCGTTTATTGTTGTGAAAATATTATCGTTTTGTAAAAAATTTAAGGGTATCATTTCTTTGACTCAAGAATTTATGAAAAACTGTTTTTTCTATGTATACGATATAGGAATAAGGTATGTGTACACTTTATTCTTTTCAGACTCCACAGTCATCGTCGTTAATCTCTTTGTTGGAAACTAATTATATGGTGTACAGATTATAAATGTTTAATATTAGCTATTATGAGTGTATATTTTATTTATCACATCTTTTATCAAATTTCTTGCTCCGCTATGATCTTAACATATAGATAAAAATAACACTATAATCTCGACAAGTAGTGGGGCTAGAGGAAGTACGTGATGGGATGAAGATGCTTTTTTGACTGTTGCTTTGTGAAGCTTTATTCTTAGTAAAATTTATTAGTCTTGGTTATTGCAAAAGCAAATTCCATTCAGATTCCTTCCTTTAAAAAAAATTAAAAAAATTAAACGTTTATTTTTTTAAAAAAAACAACTTATAATCTAAAACGAGTACAATAGTACTTTATAATTATAAATTATTTCGTTAGATGTAACATTAGAAGTTTAAAATATCTTGTTTCTCTTTAGGATACACATATATTACTAAAAAGAAAAGAATATTACATAAATAAAAATAAACCGAAGGAGTTAAAGAATGAAACAAACAAGATTTTTAAAAGAGAGTCTTAAACATGTCATAATATAGTATATACTCGATTACTCATATAGTTACATTATTTTTCAAAATTCGTAATCTTAAATATTCTAAGCTAGTAAATTAATAAAATTACATAAATTAGAATAGATGAAGCAGATAAACGACAACTCTTAACTTCAACTAACGTGAGATTCAAAAATAGATATAACTCTGTATTTTGTACGAAGTATCAATAATGAGGCTATTACTTTTTCTATTAGCATTGTTTTGCGTGCAAAATTTGGGGTTTTTGGCTTTTCCTTCTGTTCATCTCTCTATTCAATACATACAACAAACAAACAAGTACTACAAATAGTAGTTATAGTATATAACAAGAGAATGATAAATTATTATTTTTTAATGGAAACTGAAAAAAGACGTGATGTAGTGGATGATCGAGATAGCTTTTTTTTAGTTAGAGATTTTAATTTTAAGCTTTGGTATATATAAGAAATGTTTCTCTCAAATAAGTCATATTTCAATTCGAATTCAAATTAATCAAACACTAATACAAATACTAAACACCGAATTGAGAAAAAGTATGAGGTGAATTTGTAGCATTTAATGAACAAAGTTTGGACGGTTAGTTAAGTATCCGTTGCTCTGATTGGCTAAGCAATCATCACTGACAGTGCCACATGAATAGTAAATATATCCTGCAATTACGAGGTATAAATAAGATCTGCATATATTGTACTTTCTTCAAATTTGAGGGGTTCTATCCAATACAATTAAATTCGTTATTTTCAACTTGAATTATATAATAAAGTGAAAATGTAATGTTAATATAATGAGTTGATTTATGTTATGTATATATGTGTTATTCTGGCCTACTAAATCAAAAGAGTTTTAAGATAATTTACATGAATTTAAGGTAAGTTTTTGAGTTCAACTGAATTTATTATTTTTACTCGACTACTATATAATAATAATAATAATAGTAAGATCATATAGCTAATTAATCTAAACTCAATATATAATCAAGTCATTTAGTACAGTGCATTGGATTACATCTCTTAGAATCACAATCATCAACTTCATGTTAGATGATGCTTGAAGATCTTGAATGGATCAAATTTTCAAAACAATAATACTACATTTTTCAAACACAATACTCAAAAAAACAAACAATGAGAACAAGAAATTAGAAACCTACCATTAAAGCTTTGAGAATTTTGTAGAAGCAACTCGAAATGAATGTTCTACTTGCTCGTTATAAGCCTGGATGAGCAGAGTTTTCCAATAAGTAGGAACATGTATAGAAGTTAAACGAAAAGCTCAAGTTTGTTGCATATAAGTCTTGATAGGCAAAGTAATCTGGTACTGAGAGACAGTAGGTACACATGTGACATAATGTGTACAAAAGTTGGCCAGGACGTCACCATTATCCGAAGAAAATAAGAACTACTCAAGCAGCTTGATAGGGTTTTCTCTTGAAGATGGATCAAGAAAATCACAATAGTTGGCTAGTGGAAGTACTAGAAATATTATAATTTGTCCAAAATTGATTAACCCCCAAATTGTTATTTCTTTGTAAATTCATCCCTTGTGTACTAGTACTACTTTTATTCTCTTCCACTTTCACATTTTCCAAATCATGATGACTAATCCCAAATTCACTATAAATTGGATATAGATTACTAGGTTGTTCTAAGGGGGAGAAGAAAGAAAATTGTTGCATTTGTTGATGTCTAAATTGGTCCACAAATGTTGCATCACCCTCATGAGGTTGAATTTCTCCAAAATTCAAACCATTTTGTGTAGAATTGAAGTGATTGAAATTATGAAAAGGGGTATTCAAGAATGACAAATGTGTACTTGGAGGAGGAAAATGGCTAGGAAAAGTAATAGTAGTAGTACTATTAGAAGTAATAATTGGGACATTTCTTGATCTTTCACTTCTAATTGGGGATTTTGATGATCTAGTTCTTTTACTACTTGATCTCTTGTTGTTCCTCCTACATCCACCTCCCACGGGGACGTTCCTCAGAGCGCCACCTCTAGTCCAATACCTCCGACAAGTCTTGCAAAAATGACGAGGTTGAGAAAGGTTGTAGTTGTTGAAGTAACAAAACTTAGTGTTTGTGGACTCACAACGTGGACAATTTAAGGCCGTCTCTGGTTGTGTTATCTTTGCTAGCCTGGCTCGTTCTGTTATCGAGCCAGACCTAATTGAGCCAGCTGGACCACCACCTCCTCCTGGTGATGTTGTTGCTTCTGGAGGTGGCAAAACAGCTGGCGAGAGTTGAGAGGAGTTCCCATTAGTAACACCGAGTTGTTGTTGTTGTTGTTGATGATGATTTCCTTGCTACAAATTTTGCAAGAGAGAAGAAAAATCAAATACTATTATATGGTGTAATAGTATATTCAATTAAGGATTTTTGGAAAATTAAAGAAAGTGGGAACATTTATCTTTTCCCCCAATATTTTTATTTTTTATTTTTTGTGATGAAGAAGCTAATATAGATGAATATAAATTCTTATTTACCTCATGATGCCAATTGGGAGGATCTAGATAGAAAGGAATAGATGAGAAAGCCATTAATATTGTACTAGTTGATGCTCCAAATATTTCTCTCTTTTGTAAAAGTTTGATATATAGTGGAGAATATCACACTAGTGGGAATTAAAGAAAGAAAGTTAAGCAAAGAAGAAAGACCAAAAGAGAGAAGAAATATAAAGGAAGAAACTTTATTTAATTATATTTTTCTTTTCATTTTGCTTCACTTAATTAGCTTGTAAATATTAGGGTTTGAACAAGGATATATATAGTTACATTCTTTTATGATGTCTAGTTTCAATCATGAAAGAGACATACGATTATTATTTTTAGAGTTAAAAGTTAATTATTAGTACTGTCAAGTCATTTAAAAGATATTTATAATTAGTAAGCCTCCTTAATAATATCGTATTTATAATATTGAAAATAAAAGAGGCTAATTATATTGCTAAAATAGATCAAGATAACTTGAACTGATGATGTATATATAACTTAATTATACTAATTCTTTTATGAGTCAAGTAGTAGAAATTTCTTTTGATAATATGTGATCGTAAAACATACTTTATTATCACATTAAACACTTGAGAAATTTCTAAAAAGTGTTTAGCCCTTTGTGATGTGAAAATGAACTAGTCGAGTCATATAACTAGCTAGTGATTAATCGTGAACACGAAATCATGATCACAAAAAAGTGGAGAGCATTAGTAGACCATGCATGATGCATATTTATGAGATCAAGCTAAAATATTGCTTATATTCAAACAAGAAACCCTAAATTCTAATATAACACACACACACATTTATGTAGATATATATAAGCGTTTACTAATATGAGATATTAGTTGAGATTCTTCCATTTTTAACTAGAAATTTTAGGTTCAAATCTTAGGAATGAAAACAATCTTATTAGTAGTGCGCTCCCTCCAGAAATGGGACATGCAACACACAAATCCTAAATGAATTAGACTTAATGCAGATACTGAATATAAAATCGAAAACTATATAAACGTTTGATTTTAAAAAGGAAAAGGCAAACGCTGGTGGGATGTCACCATCAAAAGTATCTTTCTTTCTTTTCTCCTTGTTTCCTATGCTTCTTTTATGTACATAAACAAAACCCACTCTCAAATGTGTGTAAATTTAAATTACACATATAACACTACTAAAAAAAAATGTAAATTTTCGACGAACATTTCCATCGAAACACTATTAAAAACATGGTCGAAAACACGTACCCTTATAGAGGGGGCGTGTAGATGGGTTAATTATTTTATTATATATATATTACTATATAAGAAGAGGGAATAACTACTATATAATTACTATATAAGAAGAGGGAATAACTACTATATAAGAAGTCAACATGTGTTCCAATAAGAAGAGGGAATAACTAATATATATTTTACTATATAAGAAGAGGGAATAACTACTATATAAGAAGTCAACATGTGTTCCAATAAGAAGAGGGAATAACTAATATATTTATAAAAAAAATGACATATAAAATGAAATGGAGAGAGTATTAGTTTTTGAAAATGAAAAAGGACAAAACACATATAAAATTAAAAGACATATAAAAAAAAGTTGGTTTAACTCTCAAACATAAAAAGTAACATATGTTATTA